TCTCTGAATTAAGAAATAGAGAATTGTATACTAAAAAGTTATGTAAATAAAAGTGTAAAAAAAATATACTGTCATTGGTGAATAACTTACTCATCACTCTATTATTAGTGTTAAAGTGGGTGACAAATTTCTTACCTAAGAGTAATAATGTATTTATATAAGGATTACTATGTAATTTCCTAAACTCGGTTTATTATAAATACAATGCTAAGGCACCCAATAGGGTAAGCCATTATTTCCCTAAATTGTTGTTTTGTATATGGTATCAGTCCCTTAGGGTTTTTGATCCCACTCGTTTTCTCCATGGCCGCCAATACCACCACTGCCGTCGCTACAAGGACGGCGCCCGTCATATTGTGCAACCCTCCTCCGGCATACCGTCGTCGGTCACCATAACGCTTACCGGCTACCCTCAATCCGCCTCCGGTTCAAGCAGCACGACGTCTCCTTCCCAGCAGGTTCCGACGTCGATGGTTCTGTCTCCTTCCCCAGCCGCACAGATACGCTCTCCGCTAGCGGCCTCCTTGTCGCAACGCCTCCATGGAATCCCGCCGCTAGACTCCTACATATTATTCAACATGCTCGAGCCTTTTACATGGATGCCTATCGCAACCACGATCCCGTCACCAGTTGCTCCAGCTTTTCTGGATGTAGGCAGTTCATCAACAACAGTTTTTGTACTAGCATTCTCCAGATAGCCCGAGATAGCTCCTTTGCCGCAGGTATCATCCTCCCACCTCCTAGGTTTTACGATTCCTCCAAGTTTTTTGTCTTCCATGGCATCTCAATTCGCAATTGTCTTTTCTACCCCTGATGTGAATAATATTGTGACTAGTCGCTTGTCATCTGTTGAAGATTACTTACCCCAGAGAACCTAGTTTAAATCCTTTTTAGTATCTCACGGCCTCTTAGGGATACTAGATGGGTCTATTCGGGTACCATCATCTACTACGTATGATTTGTCCAGGCGAGAAATTCCCAATGTTGATTATAATCACTAGTTGAAAATCGATCTAAATGTGAGATCATGGCTCTTTGCTACTCTTGGTAGAGATGTTTTAATGGAAGTTTATGATCTAAAATTTCCACATCTTATTTGGGGTAGACTTTAGACTATATTTATGTCTGCTTGTATTTCCCGTTCCATAGAGCTTAAATGTTTATTGTCTCATTTGAAAAAGAAATAATCTCAGACTATGGATCAGTATTTGTTATAAATTAAACTTCTGGTAGATTCACTATCAGCCATTAATTCTCCGGTGAGTGATCGTGATTTAATCGAGTATGCTATCCTTGGTTTGGCATTGGCGTGACCCTAATCGTATCAATCATTTCCTTTGACTCGTGTCGCACAACTGGTTATTAACCAATGAGGAAAGAAGACGTAGACATATGATGGTAGAGGGGAGCTGCTCACGCTACAATCAACACCAGGAAACAACTCTTCATGTGCTAAGGGGCTGCCCCTTTGCGGTATGACCACTTGAAAGCATCTTGCCCACCTTTCCGCTCATCGAACGAGCTGGGAGTCCCCACTTCTGTCTTGGGTCACATACCACCTCAAGGCAACGAGCAATAGTCTTCTCTTTGGGGTTGCATGTTAGTCTATCTGGAAGGTCAGAAGTGAAACTATATTTACTGATATTCGCGCCACCTTCGAGTCCCTTGCACGGTTGGCTTTATCCCTTCAAAATCAACGTGTTGACTGTATTGCTTCTAAGGTGACCATATTTACCGTCTAGATTCGAGAATTGACCTGCAGAAAAATCATTAAAAAGAACTAAAAATATATTAGTGGCTCGAGACGCGTCAGACGCTGTCCTAATGAATTATTTCCGGCGTACGGAAATTTCCCCCAAGATATAACGAGCCCTTCGGTTATCAAACCGAAAGCAGAACTAACAAAAAGAAAATAGTATATGAACCCAGCAATAAATATTTGATTTTCGTATAGCAAACTTTAGGAAAAAGAACTTTGCCGGAAAGCTTAAAAGTGTTAGGAGTGCCATTTGTTAATCCATCACTTGAGTCCTCGGAACCATTTCCATCTTCCCGCGCGCAGGCATCCAGCCATAATTATATTATTTATTTATTCATGTATATAGAATGCAAAATGACCCTCCAATGTTCCACTAACGTTAATACGTTATGCTAGGTAAAAGTTTATTTTTGTTACTTTCTTGACTATCTTCATTTTCTTATCATACTCCATACATACATACATAATATATATATATATATATATGCACAACCAAAAGGCCTGCAAATTAAGTTTAGCATCATTAATAATATTAATGATTCCAACGTTTTTTTATTTGAACCGTTAATGATTCCAACGTTTAGAGAAAAAAAAATGAGAAATAGCTTTAAGTTTTGCAAATGCTACGGTTTCACTTTGTTTTAAAGTGTATCAATGAAAAACATAATTAATGAATTTAATTCATTTACATAATTAATTAAAAGTACTTAAATGTAAAAATTTTATTCATTTGAAATATTTCAAAATTTCCAACATGCACAATATATTCAACACCATGTTAAGACTATTGAGGAGACCTTGATACGTGATCAATACACTCATATCGGTCTACCAACCAAAATAGTGGTGGATGTCTCTTGAGATTGAACGAACAAATATAGGAGACTTGTAACTTGATTCCGATGGTGCTGCTTAGCAGCGTATCGATACTGAGTTATACTCGATAATTATGCTTTAATTGAGAGCTGCTATGGTGCTATGCAAGGACTATAATTTACTTGGGAGTTTGGATACAGCCAACTACGAATGCAGCTTGATTCGTAGACAATGATTCAACTTTTGACGAGAGAAGATGAGTGTGCACACACTTGTACTCTTCTGAGATCGCTCGAGTCGAAATTGAACGATCAAAGTTGAGCATATTTATCGAGAAGCCAACAAGATCACAAACTTTTCAATTGACTACAGATTACCCATAGGTGTTCATTATCGTTACACGTTCTCTATACTTACTTTGGGTTTCCTAGCCATGCATGATCATTAATGAAAGGTAGGAACTAATCCTCCTATAATTTTACCAAAAAATGCTAATGAATCTAATGAAATTAGTTACAACAATAGATCAAACCGAATGGATTAATAAAATTAATATACACCCATGAATCTAATAAAATGCAAATTAAATTGGGGTTAGTTCATGAATATTACTAATTAAAGAGGTTTGGACAAATATAAGTCTTCTTTTCCTAATTACCAAAAAACTGACGGTGCGCCTCTATCGTTTAAAAACTAAGAATAATTATACCAAATATGCCCTGCGTGTCTGCGTGTGTTCCTAAATCGCAGCAAGCTAATGGAACGGCGTATCACCTATCGTGGCATGTCATCCTCCAGACCATGTTCAAAAATTTTTTTATTTTATTTTATATTATTAATCCTCAATTCTGTCAAAAAAAATTATTAATCCTCAATTAGAGTTCATCGGTAACAATTTATAATTACTTGATCCGATCAATTAATGTTACTCAATCAGTTACATTGATCAAATTTGACCAGTTACAGTTACTCGTTCTGATCAGTTATAGTTACTTAATTCGACCAGTTACCGTTACTCGATCCGTCCAGTTACAGTTACTTAATATAATCCGAGCAGTTACATTCATCAAATCTGACTAGTTACCGTTACTCGATCCGTCCGGTTACAGTTACTTAATCAAATCCGACCAGTTACATTCATCAAATCTGACCAGTTACAACTATCGGATTTCGACCAGTTACAGTTACTAGATCCGATCAATTAATGTTACTCAATCAGTTACATTGATCAAATTTGTCCAGTTACAATTACTCAATCCGATCAGTTACAGTTACTTAATTCGATCAATTAGAGTTACTCAACCAGTTACAATTATCAAACCCGATAAGTTACATTTACCCGACCATCATTTGCATTTACAAACCCGACAAGTTACAGTTACCTGACACGACCGATTACAAATATATGTTATCCGACCCGTTACACTATTTGACCATCACTAGCTACCACTGCCGGCCACCGCCACTAGCCACCACCGCCGGTGAACTGGTGACCCGCCACCGCCCTCACTCCGATGGCCAGCCTCCCTGACATGTCTTCATCCCAAACCCCAATCCCTTCTTCAGCATACCCCAACCCCCAAATCCCCTGCAACCGCATCTCCCGAGCATTGCCGCAGCCGCAGCTACCCGCCACCACTCCCGCCCCCCGCCCCTGCAAGACTGCAACCACCTCACACCACCAATCCTCCCCAACGATGATCAGCATCGCCTAGGCAGCCCCCTCCCCAACCGCCCAGGCAGCCCCCTCCCCAGCCCCAACAAATTAAACCCCAGACCACGCCCAAAAAACCCTAGCTGCCATGCCGCTACGTCAAAATCGTAGCTGAATCGCCGCCACCATGCTCGATTTTGAAACCCTAGCTATTGGAGACGATATCGCCGTGGCCTTCGCCATGGATCCTCGACCGTTCAGCCAGAAGAGAAAAACAACAGAAGAGAAGCTTACCTGGGACGTCGTTGGAGTCGGCGGCGGCGGCGTAATGGGACGGAGACGGTGGTGACGGGCATGGAGGAGTCGCATCTATGGATGGAGCTTATGGCATGGATCGCTGGGATCGATCAGGGGGATCTGGGTCTCCTTTTTCAATTAGGGGTACTTTAGTCAATTGGGTAATGTGTAGTCTTATTGTTGTCCAAATTGAAGACCGGTCTTATTGTTGTCCACGTAGAACTCGGTGGTAGTACTTTTGCCATTATTTCAATTAAATTAGTTTAACTAGTGAATCTAATTGCATATCAAACCCAACGATTGGTTTCTTTTGGTTTTTAAAAATAAAAAATAAAAAAAAGGATGATATTTTATTCTTGAGGATCCTACACCAACCGGACAATCTAATGGAAGGATGTAAATTGGATTTTAATACAGATAATAAGTGAAATGTTGAGTTTTGTCACTTATTAAAAAAAGGCCTATTATTTTCAGGATAGTAACCTCGGAGCGGGTATTCTTTTGGTTATCAAGGATCTTCAGGCAAAACCGATTCTTCTCACTCGTATAGTCGTATTGTTTTCAATACTCATGAATTCCTAATTTTCTTTCCGTCCGAATGTTACGATCCTTCTGATATAATATAGAATTGAAATCTATGACAGACTCATATATAGGATTTTAATGTTTGATGTGTTTATTTACATTATGAGTGTGATTTAAAGGTTTGCTGGATCCTCGAAGTAGACAGAGTTGTCTCGGCAAACAGGCGTTGGAGAATGGAAGATGTATTTGTCCTTATACTTTCGATGTTCCTTGTTTTGGCCTTAGTACCGTTGTATTTATGGAAAATCCGGAAGAGCTCTCAAATTCCAGAGGAGCCTGAAGAAGAAACTCTGGTAATTCTTTTAGAAGAAAGAAATTTGTATTGTTAGGCTTTGGTGAAATCGCCCTTTCAGCCTACCTTGAAGTTTCGGCTCTTGAACTTAAATGTTCATTCATATCAAGTAAAGGGGTTTGCTGTAGACTTGTTGAATAATGTTGGACTTGTATTGCCACAAAATGTCAGGTTAGGCGGAGGGAAGCTGTCGTCAGGGCAACTGGAACTCGTCGCATGCGTAGAAGACCAGCTTCTTCAGCTGCCAGTACATCTTCAGCAGCTGCTGCTGTAGAAGGTGCTTTCTCCTTCACTGCAAATTTACAATCCCTCATGAATTATTGGTGTGTAGGTTCTGCAAGGAACTTTGTATTGCTTCTCGATTTCCCTGCCTGCAACAATAATTATATTTTCACTTATAAATGAAAACAGAAAGTGTTGATGAAAGTGATGATGATGCATCTGGGGATGGATATTATGCTGCCAAGGCATCAAAGAAGAAGGAAAAGAAGCGTCAAGAGAGGGCAGCACAGAGACAGGCGCCAATCCATTATTTACCCCTTTATTATTATTATTAATTATTATTATTATTATTATTATTATTATTATTATGCTTATTATTATCACAATCATCATCATCATCATCACCATCGTCATCATTCTTACTTCTACTATTATGCCGCATAATGTAGTCTTGCAATGACTAGGGATGTCACTATTCACCTTATATGATCAATCTATCCCCCCCAAAGCTACAAGCATCTTAATCCCTTCTACATTTAATTTGTAAATCTGTATTTCAAGATGATTGACTTTAACACTCCAGGACCATAGAACTGCAAAAAAGATATGCTCGGTCAGTTGTTATCATTGTGCAACTATGCATTTAGCAACTGAATCTTGTTTGTTTTGTTCCCTGGTTGATTATCTAGGCTGAAGAAGCTTCCCGTGAATCAAAGCAGATTAAATCAAGCCGTTATGATGAAATAAGGAGGAAAAAGGAGGAGGAGCGTGAGGCTAAAGAGCGTGCCTTAGTAAGTTGTCACATTTTATATTCTTTACGATTTTATTGTACTTTTGAGGTTACACCTTACAAACCAACATATATTTAGGAAGAAGAAATTAAAGCTCGTCAGGCAAAAGAGGAAGAAGCTGCTGCCCATGAGTTTGAAAAATGGAAGAGCGCATTTTCAGTTGATGCTGAAGGCACCACTGAAAGTAACATACAAGATGAAAGCCATGGCTTGCTTTATGATTTTGTAGAATACATTAAGGTATTTTTTTTATAATCAACTTGCTTTTGAGGATGCGGGCTCATTCTTATGATCTTTCTAGTGTAAAACTAAAATTTGACTCATTGTATTCGTTTTACATGCATAATTTACCATATTATTTTGCAGTTTTCACCTTTTAGCCTGCAAAGTGAAAAACTGAAACCAGAATAATAAATTGTTACCATCATCCATCTGCACTTTACAACCATAAAAATTAGTTCCTCTGTCCCAAAAAGAGAATCCCTCTTTGTTAGAAGTTTGGGTTTTATGTATGGAGTAGCTAGAAAGAGTAATAGCATGGATGGGGGGCCTTTACCGAATTGGTGGGATCATCCCAGATAGGCTGAGGTTATTTTTAAAATTTTTCAATAATCAAACCAAGTGAATCTACTCATTCAGTTACTGACAGAGAAGCAAGCAAATTGATATTTCAATACTACGTATTTGTTTGTATAATTTTTTTTCCTGATGTTGCAGAAGCACAAATGTGTTCCACTGGAGGATCTTGCTGCAGAATTCAAGTTGCGGACCCAGGTATAATTTTCTTCGCTCATGTTCAAAAATTGTTTTTGTTTGTAAGTCAAGTATTTGGATAGCTACACTATGTGCTTCAGTGGTCTTCTTTCATGTGATCTTAGTCAATGACATCACCGGGTTCTGTTTTCCCATGTATTATTGCGGTGCCATCTTTTCAAGCCGGTAATCTATGTTTTGCAGGAGTGTATCAACCGGATCAATTCACTGGAAGAGATGGGTACAAAATTTCTTCCTCTTCAAAACTTACATATTTGTTGTAACATATCATCCATCTTGCTCGCGCTTACTTGATAAGAACTCAAATTTTGTAACAGTAAATTGATCACTTATATTGCGGTAAAGTGCAGAAACGAAGAAGACGATACAGTTGAGGCGCTTCGAGAGGCCTCCACTCTCCCAGATCCTAATTTTCCCAATCCAAAATCTCATTCCCTCTTATTCCATTCCCACTCCTATTTATAATAAATTCCCTTATGGGCCGGCCCAAGCTAACTAGTACCTAGCCCAAACCCTTATTTATACAATATCACACCCCTAAGTAATTCTACTATTATTATTCTTATTGGAGGCCCGTGTCCCTATCATATCTCCCCCCTTGAATAACCACCTTGTCCTCAAGGTGGGTGATAGGAAACAACCTTGATCTTCAAATTCATCTTCATCCTGGCGCCTCTTCCTTCCCAGTACCTCCCGAGTTTTTGGATCTTTAGCTCTAGTACTTGAAGCTGCATCTTCATGTTCTTCACTGCAAGGAGCAGATACAAGGTCCTGGAGGCAGAAAGCTCTCTTTTGTTGCAAAAGTTTGAATCTTCCAGCATCTGTGTTTCCTGTTGTATCCTTTTCTTTTGTTGCAACATCTTTTCCAGAGAATTGACCTCACCTTGGACAAGATCTTGAACAAATTCAAAAGCATCTGATCTCTCCAAGGTATATCTTTTCACAAGAATATACTGGTCTCTAAGTCTCTGAGCCATGAGTTTGGTTCTTTCAGAACATATTGAGGATAAGGCACAACCTGCTACCTCACAGAAAACAACACTTATTTGCTTATGAGCATCTTCAGCATAATCCAGCAGTATCTTCCATAAAACATAAATAATCTGAGGAATTTCATCTCTAAAGGGATCACAGAGCAAACCAGCTTTAACCTTTTCAAGGAAACCCATCCGAACTTCAGTTGTTCTATCAGTAGATCTTTTTAGGACTTCCAGAAATACTGGTTGAAAAGCCTCCTTGATTATACATTTGGGAAAAGCAAAGATATTATCAAGCAAGCTAACCACTTTTATTAATGCATCCCTCTGATCAATCTCCTTTTTGAATTGCAGCATAGAGGATATACAAGTGTAGACTGCTCGTTGACCCCCCATTAGCAGCCCCCGTCAAATACTTGCCGGCTAGCTTTAAGTCCCTTTTAACCCCAAGCTCTTTCAGATACATAATGATGCAATTCCCAAGATAAATCAAATATCCCGCAGAACTGTTCCCATCAAATTCTACTATACTTGGCAGATAAAAAGATGACTCAATGGAAGCATTGTTTTTGTCCATTGACTTCTCAGAAAACAGGAAATCATGCCACAACAGCTTGATAAGGATTTGCATGAATGAAACAGGACCATTATGCTTGGAAGCTAAGTTGTGAGCATCATCGGGTTCTTTCATATTCCAAACCTGAAAATTATACCAACAGTCTAGAAGCAAAACTTGTCTGTTTATACCTCCCTCATCATTACCGGAAAGGGTCCTTCCCTTCACTCCAACCAACGAATGCTGAGGGTTGTTCCTGTAGCCCCCCTTTTCCTTCCATCCCCTCTTGTCTTCTTCTCTGTACTTTCCTCTCCTTTTCAGAAAACCAATAGCTCGTGTAGGATCCTGCGGAACTTCAGCCGCCACATACTTAGCATTTTCTCCAGTTTTGCTACAGCTATCTATACGGACAGCCCCTGTAGAACGTCCGCAAGTATTAGAACCAACAATTTTATCAAAGGCAGATTCATATTCCATGGCAATCGAGGATTCAGTCACCACAAAAGTTTTCTCCTCTGGTTCTTCATCATCATTGATGCAGGTATCTTCATAGATAGGTTGTCCCTGATTAAGGAATTCCAAACTGAGCTGTGAAGCTTGCGAAGTGATAGAATCTGCTGGCGATTTCTCCTGGCTTTCATTGTTGCCCTCCGTGAACTTCTTTGCATTTTCTCTGGATCGTGATGCACTCCTATTAGTAGAGAAAGGTTGCCGCAGGTAAACAGACTCATGCTGCGAACCTGGAGAGTCTGAGTGCAAAACAATTTGCGAAGGGTAAGAATAGGCGAGAGCCCCATGCGACGCGGTTTGAGATGCCTTCTGCTAACTGGTCGTTGACGACAAATGAAGATCGGCTGCTGGCGGTGAAAAGTCTGGCAAACAGGAAGAAACGGTTTGCGAGTGCGGACTGGGTGATATGGTTCACGAGTGCGAACTAGGAGAAGACGTTCGGGAAGAAAGTTGCAGACTGAGAAAGTTGCTTGCGATGACGAGCTATGATATTCCGCGAGTGAATAACCCTGAGAACTGGAGGCAGCTGTTTGCGAAGAAGTGTGTGAACTACGCGATGCAGTTCACGATTGCGAACTAGGAAGAGCGACGGACGAAGACACCTGATTATTTTCAATCGGCCGACGGTGTCTAGGAGGGCTCCTAGCTCTGTCTCTATGTCGCTTCTGATGGTGACGAAGTTTGCGCAACATATTAGCGCAACTCCTTCCAACTATTGTCCATACGCTTCTTCAAATATCTTCCAGGTTGTAAAGCTGATGATCGATTCAGGCTCCAGGAGTGATTGCTCTGATACCAATGATAAGAACTCAAATTTTGTAACAGTAAATTGATCACTTATATTGCGGTAAAGTGCAGAAACGAAGAAGACGATACAGTTGAGGCGCTTCGAGAGGCCTCCACTCTCCCAGATCCTAATTTTCCCAATCCAAAATCTCCTTCCCTCTTATTCCATTCCCACTCCTATTTATAATAAATTCCCTTATGGGCCGGCCCAAGCTAACTAGTACCTAGCCCAAACCCTTATTTATACAATATCACACACCTTAGTAATTCCTACTATTATTATTCTTATTGGAGGTCCATGTCCCTATCATTACTTCATGCTCAGCTTTAGCCATTCTTGTCTGGTGCATTAAACGAACATTTAACTTAAAGTTTTGGGATTGTTTATCAATCTTTAAGTGTCGTGAAATTATATCTTATATAAACTCCTAGCAATGAATGTGATGTTTTCATAATCTTTCCATTGTGTTCAAGGATCTGTTTCAAGCCCAGAAAGTACTAGGTGAAGATAATAGGAAGGAAAACATAGAGGAAAATAAGAAGGAATTGTGGAGACAGGGGATAAAATGTAGGCTAAAACTCAAATATTTTACTGTAGGATTTCGTTGATACTCATTTTATATGGTCTAAGAAGTCTAAATATCTGTAAATTTATATAAAGAATAATGATGTTTCCTATAATCCTATTCTTTATCATTTGTCAAGATTAACCCAAACTTAAGAAGCCAACTTAACATTTTTTCTCCTTTCCATAACATTCTCTGGGGTTCAAACATACCGGTGAAAATTGTTTAGACTTGATTTTTTATAAGACATGTGTAAAACTTATGTGAAAATTGTTGATTTTTTATAATGATGTTTCCTATAATCCTATTCTTTATCATTTGTCAAGATTAACCCAAACTTAAGAAGCTAACTTAACATTTTTTCTCCTTTCCATAACATTCTCTGGGGTTCAAACATACACTGATAGTCCAGAGCTCATTAAACTAGTCAAGTATAATTTGTCCTTCCTAAGATCTGTACTTGCAGGTGAAAAATGTTTAGACTTGATTTTTTATAAGACACATGTGTAAAACTTATGAAGAAGCTGTTGATCTCACTAGGGAGGCTTTCGGGTGTTATGGATGATAGAGGGAAGTACATATACATCTCTTTAGAAGAAATGAAAGCTGTGGCAGACTACATCAAACGTGAAGGTAGGGTTAGCATTTCACATCTTGCCAGCAAATCAAACCAGTTCATCGACTTGGAGCAAAAATCCCAGTTAGTCGAAGACACTGTCAATTTTGGGGAGATAGCTGTTGCTTGATTCTCTGTAAGTACTTGCATAATTTCAGTGCTAGTCGATGAGCAAAAGTGACACATGATTTTACGGTTGAGGGGACAAGTATATATAAATATAATAGTTTGTACCAACATATTTAGTTATATACTATAGAACATGTCAATAACTACTTGGAATTTCTTTGGGGGGACTCTCTGCCTGTGTATGTGTCGATGAGGTTTACACTCTTCATTTTCTTTATTTTTAAGTGATGAAAGATGATAAATTTCATGTTTGCGAAAAACACTTGAAATGATCCAACTTTAACATGTTATCATTCACACAAGGTGCGGTGCATCTTTAATCTATTTTTGTTGATGTAGTTTTTCTAAAACTGAGCTTAATCAGGTAGCTGCTCGTTAGAGATGTATAATCATCTTCTTATGTCTGTCCTACTATCTTTATAAAGAAACAAGGAATAATGTGTGTGTAACTTTGTGTTTCATGCCAGCCAAGTATTCATATTAAAAGATGATCATTGTTTCATCATGTCTTGATTGCCATGGGAGTAGTTGACTAATGTGGAAGTGTATTTTCATTTCTGATTACATGTTACTTGAATAATGTTGTTTGACACAAGTACTATACTAAGAGGGATTTTTATGTTATCTTGCTAAGACGCTTCCAATTTCTGCCGTTGGAGAAGAAAATTTCTCAATTTAATATACCAAATCATTAAGTAACTTTATCCAAATAGTACAAGTTGTTGTGAGATATATACGACTCCATCCCAAATTAATAATGGTGAAGCTTTTGAGCTTGAAGATTAAAAAATGAAAGGGAAATTTGACACCAATAATCCAACCTTTACCTGGTCTTCCCAAAATGGTCCCAATTATTAATAATCCTAAAAAAATCCAACCTTTCTATTCTCTCTTCTTTCTATGGACCCAATGTAAAATTTACCGGTTGTTAAAGTTATTAACAACAAATATTACCGGTTTCTAAATAATACCGTACAATGTTTTCCTTCCTCCCACTTCTCTCTTTGACCTAACCGGCCAAAACATCCATTCGGAAGTTTTTCCGGCTCCCGATCAAACCCATCCAATATCTCATTCTCTACAATCATATCCATCATAGACTCCTCTGAAATTCTTCTCCCGATTGGCCGACTCTCTGAACACTTCCCTTGAAGATCCCTTCGATATCTAGAAGGTAAGTATACTGCCTTCCTCTTCGATGAAACAGAGAAGACAGGGCAGTCTTCGTTTTCTGGGGAATAAATTTTGGGGGTTGTTCTTGTACTTTTTGTGTTCTAGTTTTTGCTGCTAGGTTTGTAAAAGAATCAAGAATTTGGGATTATATTTGATAATCTAAATGACTAAACCTGTGATTAGTGCCCATTGATTGAAAGTTTATGAGAAGATGAAATAGTAAGAAGAATCAAGAGGGATTTTATAGTGGAATTAATAGTTCGGATTAGGGATTAAGGATAAGATACATTGCTTACATTAGTACGAGGATTTGGGGTATAGTGCTAAATTGCTAAAACAAAGTTTACTTTGTTAGCCGGTAACAAGTATCAGGGACCGCTGAAAGAAGGATAGATACAAAGGTTGGGTTTGTTTAGGATTATTAATAATTGGGACCGTTTTGGGAAGACCGGGTAAAGGTCGGATTATTAGTGTCAAATTTTCCAAAATGAAATAAAATACCTAGATTGCCATATCCTTTTACCGTAGTACTGAAAAGGTCAATAAAATTAGAATGATATAGTTCTAGAGTCCAGACAACATTGAGATTTCATGTTCAGAGAGTTTGTTCTCTGAGGTGGATTGGATTGGCCCACATAAAAAACAGAGAAAAAGCAAAGAGGTCAAAAGCGACGGCCTGCTGGCTTTGGCTACTTACTGATAGAAATAGGGTCAACTTTTCACATTCATTTGTTTGATTTACACGGAATGTCTCTTCGGTTAAAAAGTAATGCCTTTCAACTGCAGTAAAACTTGAATTAGCAATTAATTGGATTTGGACGTGTGAAAGTAGAGTGGTGAAAGTACAGCCCCTTTAGAACCTGATTGTTAACCCTATAAATGATATTTTTCAGGAAATTTCATGCTTTTATAAGATAAACACAAGGGTAGATGTAAGGCCGTATGGGCTTGAGCGGGGCTTGGTACAAATCAAATATTGAGAAATGTGTATTTTGTGCATAAAAAAATTTCTGAAAATTTTATCTATATAAATTTTTGTATTGACATATCCCATATTTTGCTCTTGAGTAAGCCCCTGTGGAGTGTGGACACATGTTTGGCCCCCTTGAATTCAAGTTTTCAAAATAATTTTTACAATTTTAGTTAATACTCGGTAGTATTAGGTTATGTTTGGCCGACATAAGTCTCTGCCTTCTAACTTTTGTACTGTTCAAAAAGTCTCTAAAAGCTTCTAGTTATATGCTCCCTCTGTCCCGCTAACAATGGGACAAGAGGGAGTGACACGCAAACTAATAAAAAGTGGTTTATGTGGTTGATATTGAATTGATAAAGTAAGAATGATTTAGAGCCATACAAATTTTGCCAAATTTGGTATGGGACAATCTTAGTGGGACGGACCGAAATGGTAAAACAGGACAATCTTAGCGGGACGGAGGTAGTATTTGGCACGACAATTTTTAAGAGCTTTTCAAATATTAAAAGATCTTTTTTGAGATGCTACAAAGAGTAGCAACTGAAAAAATCTCGTGACTTTTAGTATTTGTTAGTCCTAACAACTTGTATACCAAACTGAACTAAATCAAATAGTCATCTTTTTACTAAACATATACCACATTTTCTTTTTAAGATCTTTCCAATCACTAAAAGCTAATTGTTATTAAAAAGCTCACAAAAGTATCTTTTCAGCTAGTTGTTCCAAACATACCCTTAGTTGTTGTTGATGTATCCTTCATATGAAGGTTGCTGTGAGAATGGTCTTTGGCGTAGGTTTTTAACTCTGATTTTATAAGTTAGTTCATGTTTGTCGACCGACCTCAAACTCTTTTGGTACTAAAACTTACATGTTGCAACGTTTTATTAAAGTATTCATTTGAAAACAACAACAATAACAACAAAGACATTCAAGTTACAATCCCACAAAAGTTGTAAGTTAGCTAACATGAATCGACATGTGAAATTGGAGCAAAAAAGATGAAGTAAAAGGGATAAAAAAAAGATGAAATGAGATCAATCTTTCACACGAATGTTTTCAATCTACTTCGCTCTCATCAGAGTCTACTATCATTCAATCCAAGAAGTATCATATCACTTATGATTCTTCTAATATACATCTATTTGGATCTTCCTCTCCCTCCCCTTCCTACCTCTTCTCTCCACCCCTCTCAACTTGTCTAATAGGTTGTTTGCATCACTTGGTCTTCTACGCACACGGTCAAACCACCACAATAAAGACTCTCACATCTTAGCTTCAATATGTGTTATTTCCACCTTTTGTCTGACTATCTCATTTACCAAGTTATCTTTTCCGCTATGTCCACACATCCAATGTAGCATGCATTTCTTAGTCACACTCATTTTTTGAATGTGACATTGTTTCACTGCCTAACACTATATGTCATACAATAATTATGGTGTAATTGATGTCCGAAAAAACTTATCTTTTAGTCTAGTCAGCAAACCTCGATCACGTAGAAATTTTGATGCACTCTTCCATTTGATTTCATCCACTCTATTATGATCTATGGAATACATTTTTATCTAGTTCATTGTCTTTTTAAAGTATGGATCCATGTAACAAAATATATCATTAATCGGTATCTCCTTACAATTTAAGGTGATCCATTATAATCATTGTTTCTAACTCCATCAAACTTACTTTCCATATACCCAGACTTGCTTCGACTTGAAACCCTCATTCTTCCAAGTTTGTCGTCATACTTTCAACTTAGCTTTGAAACTTAATCTTGTCTCATCAATTAACACAAATCGTCAACAAATATAGTGCGCCACGTTATATCTTCTTGAATATAACAAATAAGAAGGGACTCAAAACTGATCTTTTGTGCATTGTAGTAATAATAGGAAACTCTACAATCCTTCCTACACTAGTAAGGACACTTGTATTACTAACATATTCATGATATAAATTTTCTAGCTAAGACCCACTAAAATAATACTCGAGGTACTCTATCATACTACGTTTTATGTAAGTCAATGAACATCAAATGCATATTAGTATCTCTATATTTCTCTATGAATTGATTAAGAAGGTGAGTAACCTCAATTATTAAGCGACCAGACGTAAAACCGGATTGATTCTTTGAAATCTTTACACTTCTTCAGAGCCTTTTCACAATCACTCGCTCCCAAAAATTCAAATGCATAATTTGGATAAATAAATTTGAGATTTGGGGTACTAACCCTTTAAAAGTATATTACTATATTTTGGAAATTTTATCTATAATAGATAAAAAGTTGCAATGATTTTGTAAGATATCAAATAATATTCAGAAATACTATATCAAATAAAATTCTCTAACAAAGTTCAAGTGAATTCAGATATAAAAGCTTCTATGATACGTAGTATTAAACTCGAGGCACAATTAAGCACAATGAATTATCTGACGTTTTTAACACCCATTTGATAAGCAAAATATGCAAAATCCTTTAAATATTCTAACATTAGTACACATTATATATTCGTGTAGAACTTAAGCATTTGACCAATTTCTCTAACAAGATTCATGTAGCAAACTTGGAATATATCATTTGAAACAAAATATAGGTGGATAGATGTTTTATCATGAAATGAATTGATAACATTTAAACTAGTTTTGACTTTTGACAAACAAAGGCTTCTGCTTTGATCTACCAATATCGTTTGAGAGTGCTTTTATTAAGAAAACTAAGTTATTTTTTTATCACATTGTGTAAATTTAAGATGCAACACTTTTAAATATCTTTTTATATACTTATATGTAATGAAAATGCATTTTATTTTTAAATAAAAATGTATACAGTAGAGCCACCATTCATTGAAATTAAATTTAAAAGTCCTACATATAAAAACTAAAAGGATAAATATTGTGAATTTTGAAAACTATAAATTCAAAATACATATGTAAGTATGTGTTGTGTGTGCGGAATGATCCTACATGTTAGGCTAGGTGCAAGGTCATTCCTTTGATGTGCACGTCACAAGCAAATACACGGGAATGACCAAGAAAAGTATAAACTTGCATAAAGGGGCTGTAATTCTGTAAATAAAGAGATCAAGAAGAAAGAGGGTCAGAGATTAAAAAAGCATAACGCATATGCTTTGCAACATTAATGAAGAAATCCTAAAGGTAACCACAAAGAAAGGCAAAATGCTTCTCCCCCAGCGGCCCAGCACTTGTAACCTCTCCTACAAATATCATTCATCAGATTAACCCAACAATCCAAATATAGCAGATATAATGTCTTGGAAAGCAAATGTATATATGTTGAGGTCACTCTGTGTATTGCTCCTGATACAGAAAAGCATTGCTTATACTTTCAACGTCACAGAATGGGGTACTCCAAACCATTATAACTATAGTGAATGGGCGAGCAGAAATAGGTTTCAAATTGGAGATACCATCGGTAAATTAACTCTTTCTCCATCTTCGAAATTACGCTTCATTTCTCTCTCAATGTAGATGTCTCACTCGTATAGTAGTAATAAAAGAGTTGAACATGTATTCATGTCACCAACTGACCACAGATTAAAATTATGTACTAGTACAACTGATTTGTTTCTTTTTGGAAACGCAGTGTTTCGCTCACCTAACAATGACTCAGTCCTTCTGGTAACGAAAGAGCAATATAAAGAGTGCAACAAAAACCACTTGGGGGAACGCAAGGATGGGAACACCTCATTCACACTCAACCACTCCGGGCACTTCTACTTCATAAGCGGGAGCCGTGACAGGTGTAACAAGAACGAAAAATTGGAAGTCGTCGTCATGGCTGACAGAAGACATCGCTCTTCTGCACCTTCTCCTTCACCATTGGTGCCTGAGGTAACTCCATCTCCGGCACCAAACAGAAAGGTGACTCCTCCAACTGAGAAGGCACCGTCTCCATCCCCATCAGGACCAGAAGCGCCAATGCCTTCACCTGCTGATTCACCACCATATGTGCCATCTCAAGAGTCTTTTCCTCCAAAGAATGGTAGTCCATCTTCCATTACTCAAGGTTCCATTAGCTTGGTTGGAGCTCTTATTGCTATTTCGATCTTCCTATCATGTTGATGTTACTATTTACACAAGGGATTTAAGTAGCTGAAGGGGTGAAGGTCTACGCAGAGTATCATTTGTTAAGATTTGGCGTTCTATACTCTCAAAGAACCAACCTTGTAATATGAGTAACCCAAGAGCTGGTGTGTGTGGCTCTTTTAATATTATTCCCGATGCATTATAGTATTATTCAATACATAATATATTCTTTTTTAATGTCAAAATCCAGTTAGATGAAAAACAGAAATCCGTAGCATTCTTTTTTAATGCTACGTTTATGTTTGGTCTACGAACAATACATATAGATTAAATTAAATGACTTTGATGAACTATTTATCAAAAATTCTTTCCTAATTCAACTTTTTTCACCATTCTCATAGTATTGTGCAAAATCGAATCCAATATGCCAGCCACCTGCAAAATTTCAAAATAATAAACAAACTTGTATATCCAGCCCATAAAGAAGGGTGTATATAAATGGGAGAGAGGAGAGGACTGGGATTCAGTAAAAACTGACCGTAAAAACGCCTCCAATAATGGCACAGACATTTGTAAGAAAGTGTGAGAACGAATTTACGTTTTCTGTTATGAGCACCTGATCACAAAAGATGGCATTAATTTATTAGTATTTTTACAAACAAACAAAAAAGGGTATTTATGCACGCTGACACAACAACAGCTTGTATAATTGCAAAACCTGCAATGGTGATGGCTCAAAATGAAACTTAGCGACTGGTATATAAAGACTATGAACCAAACTACTATGAGCTGTGTACTCATAGTCCTCCACGAGTTTATAGGATCTTGTCATCACCTCTGTTTTCACAACTTGAATGTAATGCTCAATCTGCAAATAAATTGGTCCATAAGTTGTAACAAAGCTTCACAATTCCTATAATCTAATTGGTATGTTTGAATCATGAAAAATAGTATGGAAAGGGGAAATGTCAAGGAAAGTTCTTATATTCGCCTTTTCCTCAGAAAATGCACAAGAAAAATGTAATATGGTTACTTTTTGAAATGAAGGTCACATGTTCAGATATATTAGGCTTTATATGATGAAAATAAGTAAATAAATAAAATGAGTTTGAACATCAGTTGAGGTTAATTCTGATTCAGCAGGAGCGATATCAGAAATTCTAAGTGGATCTAGCAGCTCAACGGTGGGATTACTTCGTGACGACATCAATGATTTGGCGAAACATTTTTCGAGCATTTCTTTTAGTCATGTTAAGCGGTCAGCGAATAAGCCGGCCCATTTGTTAGCTAGGGCGGCTTGTTCTTTGCCTGACTCGCAATTGTGGTTATTTTCTCCTCCTTCTTTCATTGTATCCGCATTAGCGAACGATTCGATTAATATTAATTAAATCCTTTCCTTTCAAAAAAAATGAGTTTGAACAAATATCTAAAATGATATTATCTAGTTTTGAGAGGACTATTACCTCCCTAAAATGTTGTTTCTTTCCCATTTCCCTCTATTGTCATCTACATATTTTTTCCCTAACTGTTTTTGGGGTTCCAAACGGACCTTACAAGTTAAGGAAAAAGTAACTACAGAAAAATAATATAGACATGAGTTCAACAAAAAGATTGTGATTCTATTGATCTTTTGAAACATTAGCGCAGGTTAAACAAAGATTTTGCAGGAGAGAAGAATGGCATTATGTGGGAAGGAGAAAATTCACTTCAATGCCAAGGGAATGTTTGGATCACAGAATATTCTAAGGGTAAAAAATATTATGGAACGTCATTTTCTTGTGTTTAGTTTCACATTGGAAATTGTGAAGGAAAATGAACATGATTATTATCCTTGACTTACATATACTTAGTTCTTAGGGTACGTTTTGTTCATTTAAAGGAATACTTATGGGAATGGGAATAAGAATGAGTTTGAAAGAAGGGGGTATGGGTCTATGCCCAAAATTGGAAAATCAAACGCATAGTGAGGTAATTATCAAGCATAATCTATCCTTTCATTCCCACTCATCATTCCCCGAACTTCCCTACCAACCATTTCCTTAGTCTTTAACTCTTTATACAGTTTATATAGCTAAATTTCAACAAATATCTACAAAAACAAGGGAAAAGTACAGAAAAGGTGTATGTGGTTGGACCAGTTTCATATACGGGCATGTGTTTCATTATTTAACAAAGTAGGCCATGTGTTTAAACTCCGTTATCACAGGAGGGTCTATGCCGTTAGAAATTGCCGGAGGAAGACGAAGAAAAATACTGGGACGTGTGCCTCATCAAGGCAACCTCTAGGCCTCTTACTTTTTTGTTTCCAGCCACCCTTGTCGCCGGAAAGTCCTCCGCAAAAGTGATATTAGCGAATTCGATTTTAAAAAACAAAACAGATCCGGAAAATCCAAAGAGGACAGTGGTTTGGAGGTCTCCTTGACGAGGCCCACTTCCGAGTATTGTAATTTTTCGGGAACTTTTGAAAATCGAAATTACTGCTCATCGTCTTACTCAGGCGATTTCTAAAAGCGTCAGGCTTCGGGTCCCCTCCTGTGATACCGGAATTTAAACACATGACCTACTTTGTTAAAAAATGAAACACATGCCCTATCTGAAAACAAATATGTAACATAAATATATTGAGGTTTAGCACTTTAGCCTATCTGTAACAGTCCTACCCCCACATTTTCTTTCCTTTCAATACTCCTCTAGAATTTTCTTCCATTTATCTTTCTGTAGTATTCCCCACAGCCCTAATAGACCCCCCAAGTCTGGTAGTTGTAATAGTTTAGGTCATTTAGCCCACAGACCACTCTAAAGATTTAACCCGCTTTACCAAGAATGTAAAGTAGCATGCATTGGCATCATTATATTTAATAAACCACTTAAAGAGAAGTATTTTGGGTATTAAAAAAAAACATAAAAGCCCCCTGCACTGATCAATGCTGTAAGAATGCAGAAAAGGAAACATATAAAATAATAAGCAAATTCTGAAACCCTAGATTTGTCAGTGATTGGTTAACGAAAGTAGAACGCTTACCGTAACATTTTCACTGGACTCCTTTGGATTGGTAATGTAAGCATTGCCACTCAACTTGTCATAGCTTTGACCTAGGTATGGTATTAACCTCTTCACATCACTTGCTACCCGTGGGGTTAACATCTTACCAAAGGAAAAACGGGAGATCACATGTGACATGTTCATCTGGGAAGCATCAAATGAATGAGCTGCTGAACGAGCTGATATGACAAGGTTTCCTGGAACCTGCAGGTTAGGAATTAAACCATGTGATTAACATGTTGAATGTGTTGGGGTGTTTTAAACCACTCATTGTGCATTTATAATTACACTAGCCTACACTCGTTTAGGGTATCTTTCGATCCTGAAAAAAAACTAGGGAAGGGACTCATTAAGGAAAGTTATTTTCTTGTGTTGGGTTTTAATAGAGAAAATGCAGAGGAAAAAGAAATATGATTAATGTTTTGAAATTTTTGTATTCCCTCTATCCCATTTCAAGGTTCTCGTACACTACTCACACAGTCAACTTAACTCTATTTAAATCTTTAATTTTGTATTAGTATCATAAATTTGGACGTTCTCTAATTTTTTTGTGATTTAGGATGCTTTCTTTTGGACTGTTTTCAGTCCCAAACCAGACTTAAATAGACCAGACCAGATTTAAACAGACCAGACCAGATTTAAACAAACCAGAAAAGATTTAAACAAACAAGACCAGACTTGGACAGTTATAAAATACACAGAGACCAGACGTTTACCAGATCAGTTCATACCAGACTAGACCAGGCCAGCAAATTTCAATCCAAAAGAAAACATCATCATCATCATTTTCATTTACCCCAGTGCCGCAAAGGCTCCCACCTACGGTGGGGTAAGGGGGGTCGGATGTACATAGTCTTACCTCTATACTAAAGAACAGAGAGACTGTTTCCGGATGACCCATAGTGAAAACCGCGTCCAAAATTGCCTGGACTGACTGATGCTTCATAACAAAGAAGCGCAGAAAACCTTCGTAAAATTTCTAGCATAGTTTCGGGATATGTAAACTTTAATTATTAAAAATAATCATACTTTATCAGGGAACAATTTACTTTATCATCAGTCAGCTATTGTAAACCGCACAGAAAACCTTGATATAGGGCAGAGGGAGTATATGTTCAAATATATCACATGTTAAACAAAATGATATATTTAGAATTTTAAATATATCACATGTTAGTCTTTATATAATAGATTAATAGAAATAGCTGAATAACATGAGTTTTAACAAATCTCAAAAATATATTTATTAATTTTATTGAGTTTGAGGAAATGTTTTATTTTCCCCGACTTTTATTTCCTTCCAATTTCCCTTAAACTTTCATCTCTATTTTTTTCCTCTTGTATTTCCTAGTATCAAACGGACCCCTCTCCACCCTCCCCCCCACCCCCCTCTCCCTCCTTCCCTCCCTATACCTCCTCAAAGCTGAACAATGTAGCTCACGTCTTCATACTTACCTTCAAGTTTCTCCAAACAATCAAACAGATAGAGATCACAACTTCTTTAAAAATAAAAAAGGAATGTCCTAATTAAATTATTTACCTTCTTAACACGCACAAAACCTTCAAGTCTGCATCCCCCTGTTGCGGGTGCAGGTCGTTTTGTACCTTCTGTGACGTTAACAGATTTACCGTCTGAAGACTTTGACTCCAACGAAATAGATGCAACCAGTTCTTCCATTGTCTGCAGGCACGAAGCTATTTCGTGTCAGGGGTAGGTAATGGGTTCCAGAATATTAAGGTCATGTAAACCATTAATCAAGTGTAGAAATGTTTCATAAGTGTGCAGTATGCTACTATGTTATGCATTGATATGGACAGTGTGATGAACGTCAATGAAGGAGACCCATTTGATTAGTCTGGTTTCTTCCTAAAATTCATATGATCGGTCCTTGTCATCAATTTGTTATTTATCTGTGTTTAATTACTTCATTGCCCCCCCCCTACCCCACTGTAGGTGGGAGCCTTTGCGGCACTCGGGTAATGATGATGATGATAATTACTTCATTGCAATAATCTAATTTGGCCCATGTGGACAAGGTACGGTACCCTCACTTTTGAGTGGTGGGCCATAGCATTCACATGGACCAAAGATTGCACATACCGTCACCAGGCTGTTCGTATCTCGGTCTCCATAGTAAGACTCGTGATTATGGTGTCCATGGTCATCTCTGTATTATAGATTATAAGAAATGCAAAAATCATCAGAAATATTCCAATGCAAAACCTGAAAAATTTTATTATCATCATCAGCACAACTGATTGGGGTCATAGCATACAGCTTATAGTGTCAATGAATTGTCTTAAAATAGGCTAAAGTAGGCTAACGCTAAAAATACATTGGATATTTCTACTTGTACAGAAAACATCATGAGATGTTGATTTCATTACACATTAATTAAACTAATGATAAACAATAATAAAGTAGTTTTTACATATGCTCTTTAAATTCAATTTGAATTAGAAAGTCTAATCATAAACATCACCAAGGAGGCAGAACAATTTTTAAACCCCCCAGACTTCAGCTTTTAGTTGTGATACAAGAAGATATTGTGTTGCATTTCTTACAAAATAAATTGCTATATTACAATGAGAAAAGGTTCAAATAGACCCTTCTACAATGTCCAATTTATCACTTAAGTCCCTGTTCTTGAAAACATGATCATATAAGTCCGTTTACTTCAAAAAAATCAATCAATCTAGCCACTTAACCGGTTTTAACTTATTATAACAGGGATTTTTTTTAAAAACATCTAAGAAATTTTTTTCACTTGGAAAAAAATTGTAAAACTTTAAGAAAGTCAAAATATATATTTTTGTGATTTTGGAATTATCTGAATATTCTACATCTTTTTAAAAGTTCTGACATTTTAATATCATTATTTTTACATTTTCATTTATTTTTGGATTTTTTATTTTTTTATTTTCCGGATTTTAAATTATATATCTATTTTTGACATTTAACTATTTTTTATATTTCCATTTCTATATTTTTTACAATTTACTTCTTCCGTCCGATAATGTAAGATACGGGTAGGTTTGGCACTGGATATAAGAAATTAAAGGATAAAGTGATCATTTCACGATTCTAAATTTCTAACCTCCAAAAAGTAAAATGGGTCCACAAAAAGTAAATAGTGAAATAATATATAAAGAGATAAAGTGGGAACAGTGAAAAGTAAGTGGAGTTCAATTTAAGAAAGTGTTCATATTTTTAAGAAGAAAAGGGTATCTTACAAAATGGGGCAGAGGGAGTATATAATTTAAAAATATATAATAAAAAATTCTTAATTATTTGTGTTTCCAAAGTAAACATGCTAATGTGATACTACATATTATTTTAGTATAGGAGCTCAAGTGATGAATTCCAAATGGTAGAAGGACCTATTTGAACCTTTTCTCTATTACAATTTACACTACATTGAGCCATGCTTCAGCTCAGTATAGCTTTCCACTAAGTTAGTTATCTGACTTATCCCCATTACGGATTAATGGGATTAACAACTGTCCTTGGAATGACCATGCATCTGGATGTTTTTTAATGCTGAACTTTGAAGGACCAACTAATATGCTAGAGTATTTACTACTAATAAATTTTCTTTTATTTAAATAATATAAGCATGCATCTACATGATACAAAACTGATATTTCTAAAAGATGCTTAATATACAAATGACAGTAATTTTTTTTACCTAATATCACTTCCCTTCCTGAAGATTCGAATAGATGGATAACCTTGAATGTGATTTCTGAACAAAAACCACTTATGGTTAGCAAGATGATAAAGGTGTAGTAGAGCCCGTTTGGTAACACTGTTTTTCGGCTTATCAGGCTTAGCAGCCAACTTTTCACCAAACACGTAATTTTTGCCTTTGCGCGTTGAATTGTGTAATAAGCAGAAAAAGTAAGGTTGAAGTTACTTTTCTAGCTGTATTGGCTGAAGTTACTGTAGATAACCATTTTAGCTATTTTTACATATACTTTTTTCTATATATTATTTATAAAATATATTTTAAAAATAATTTTTTCTTAAAGCAGCAGAATCAACCAATGCAGCCACTCCAGCCAGAACTTCATAAATTTCAGCAGAATCAGCCAAATCAGTTGATTTCTGTGCTACCAAACGGGCTCGTAATCTATTGAAACACAAAATCCAACTTCCTAAGCATGGAAATGGATGTAAATGCACAAAAAAACTTGTTCATAATACTACTTCACTATGTAAAAGGTTCCACAGTAACAAGTTATGAATAACAAAATAATGCTTAATTCAGAATTACCTTCTGCATAAATCAATTTCTTCAGTACAATCAACCTTTCCCAATAGAATCCGCCCATCCATTTCTGGGTCATATCTAAAAGGACAAAAGAAATATGCATCTAAGATCCGAAAAGAAAAAAGTATCAAGGGAATGCTATAGCTCCATTTCAGAGGAGAAATGAAGCTCTAGTTTCATTGTAAAAAAAAAACTACTATGTATTATATTTGACATGTTTAGCAGAAAGAACATAAAAAATAAGACCTTTCTTTTAAAATACTGGCTGCTTTCTCCCAAGAAGGTTTCTGATATTTATGACACCAGCAGGAAAAAGTTGTTAGTTAGCCCTCAGTTGCATTCAGAATAAGAATGCTCATTATGTGATACAAGTATATGATGAATAAGTGAATGATTGATAGACTAGCCTGTCTAACTGTTCAAGGAGAGGAAGGTTTGGAGCAAGCAAACAAGTAATGAAATCTGAAACACGAGTAAAAAGTGATGAGATTACCAATCGATTACTCCAATAGCACCAAGGAGCATAAAAGTTCACAACCAAAATTGGATACCTGTATTTTAGAAAGAAAAAAAAAGGTTAAAGGGTGGCAAGGATTTGGTGCAATGTTTCACAGAGGAAAAACATAAGTGAGATAAGATCCGCTCACTGGTGTGATACTCTATCAAAGTTACGTCCAGTTAGTGTTACTGAACCTTCAGCATGCTCTTCATCTGCTTCATCATCATGCTTAATAGCATTTTCAATTGCTCCAGATTGAAATTCAGACCCAGTAGGCCTCAAATTTGAATCTATAGCATATTTTCGCACTGTTTTTGTAATATTCAACCTATTCTGGTATAAGGAAACGGCTCAGGTATGTCAGGCTCATAATCCATTCTTAGATTATGAAGAAAAACGCAAGCGTTAACAAAGAAAAGATTCACAGTCGATCTACATAAGAACCAAACTGAAATAATTTGTGCTTCCAACAGCCCACCACGGAAATAATTTGTTAGCACACTCTCCGTAATTTTATTCTGTGATATTTTGGTAGGCAACTAGTTTAGTAGCATGTTTATGTTAGAATCTCCACTCACACATTTATTTAAAAAAAAAAACTAAAAATACTCGAGGTTGACAAGGATTTGAGAGAACTTACTGTTCCAAGGACATCACTCACGTCAACAGATGCAAATTCACAAGACAATGCAGGAAAACTGAAATTTATAAAATAGCATTGACATATTAATGCACTTTATCGTATACAAATGAATTGCACTCTAATTTGCATTTTTTGTTGTCAATCTAAAGAAGTGTAGAGCATGGGAACATCTAGAGAAGATGAAAGTCAAACATAAATATTTGAGGTGTTTTGGAATTATGATTAGGAACTTCTATAAAAAGTCCATGCAACTCATAACGAAAATAGAGACACATAAATGTTTTATAGACACTAAGAACAATGAATTGCATTCACTAGGTAAAAGTTCAGCACAAACAGAAAAAGCAGCTACATAAATTGTACCTAATGTTAAAATCAATTCGTAAAAAGTCCCCATCAGCACTCCTGTCAACAACTACAGATGTTGTAGTGCTCACAGCCAGATAATGATGTAGTTCCTGGAATTGAGACATAAATGAGTTGATATTGTATCCAGGTAAACAGTATTACCTGTGAGAATGAAAAGAAACATCAATCTCCTACCATTCCAAATAAAAGGATCATGCAAAAGGCTGCAATAAGGGATAGCCCAGCACCTGATAGTGATGCCTCTGTCAGATCTCTTGGAATTTTCCTATATATAAAAGGAGAGAGTGACAGAAATTAGCAAGCTTTGGACTTGCTTTGACCTTTGAACTTGTCTTTTCAGGAATTAAGTGTATTCATATCACGAGTTAGAGACTGGGGTAGTTGAGTGTGGACAACTTATTTCCATGCACTGGATGTACCAGATCACTCCAGATCTTGCATCTGGTTTGAACTCTTATCCTTTTAATGACCCCCTCAGAAACAGTATACAATAGTATCTGCTTTTCTTGCGTTAACCAGCTAAAGTAGATCAATTTTTTTATTGTAGAAACGTGGGACATTTGATAAAAAAAACTTGGCATGTCTTATATCTTGGTAATGTTCGGCAGTAATGATTACTTACACCACTTCGTGGTTTAGCATTTTGGGTAAAGAACTCTACTGCTGTGCTACTGGAAATGCATCAGCAACCCTAAACTAAAAAATTTATGCATCTTATTTAGCATTTTATAGTTATATAAGCATATCGAGAAGAAATCCCACGATCATTTGCTGGAAAAACTGCTGAACAAAAACCAATGACTAAATGTAAAACTGTAAAAGAAATGCGTTGAAACAAAACATAGCACAGAAACAAACAGGCGCCAGATATTTACGAAAAGTGGAAGCTCGGCATATAATATAATCTAAGTACGAAAACACAGTGAAATGAAATCTAACCTGTAAAAATCAACAGATTTCAGTTTACTCGTTGAAATCGGCATTGTGGTGGAACACAAATGAGTAATTAAAGACACAGACTCTCTAGCCCTGCTAATTCTCAGCTATATGCTGTTTTGGTTTCTAGGGGGAGTGCATTCGCTCGGTGTGTTTTGAGTTTTGACGAAGGCAATAGAGTTTAAATATGAATAAATTAAATTTTATACGGAAATCATTTATATGGAGATAAGCAAAACATTCCAACTTTTTTTAAACGAAGCAAAACATTCCAACTTATATAATGAGTGGAGTATTCATTTGAAATAATTAACACGAATACTAGTATTGTTTATGAGTTTAATTGGACAAATATGGTGATATGTTCCCCAATTGAGTTCTCAGTTCCATTTTTCTAGTCAAACTTCAGATATTTTGACACTAATTATTCAAAATTTATGTTGATTTGACACACAAAGTTAATTTTATATACTTTATTTCAATATTATTATTCAAATGTTAATTTATTATACTCATTTCGTCTTATTGGACTTTGTCATCTTTCCCTTTTTTTGTTGTCTCAAAAAACTTTGTCACTTTTTCATTAAAGCAACTAATTTGTGGTTTCACACATTTCTCTCTCCTCTGCACAAATCTCAACCACACAGTTTTTACTATTCTTATTTCTCACCTACTTTGCACTTGGCAAAGTCTACCGGGACGAACGTAGTAGGTTTTATAAATTTAGTTCTTGGGATGATGTCAAAAATATTACTCCCTCTGTCTCATTCAAAATAAGTGTCATCTTTCCCAAGAAATATGTAATTCACAGAATTTCGCTTTATTATACTCAAATCTCAACCAAAACTTTTATCTTTTCAATCACTTTATTAAAAATTATGCCAAAACCAAAGGAGACACATAAAATGGGACGGAGGTAGTACTAAAAATGAGTTGTGAACAAAAAGTTGGCCTTTTTTAAATTTCCAAAAATGAGACTAAAAAAATGTCAAGGGTCGAAACTATTCTACTCTTATTTAAATACAACAATCTCATCACTAGTGCTACAGTGACACTACAATGACCAAAAGTCCATTAGTGACCAATAATTTGTTGGTGATCAGAACTCCATTAGTGACCCGTCCCGCCAGTGACTCACTGTTGCCAAATACAGTTATTCGACCTAGACCTGCACAAAAGCGGGTTTGGGCCGGGCTCGAGTCGGGCTTTTCATAAGTTTTCTGTCCATCGTGTGTGGGCGGGCCCGGCCCGCAAAAACGGGCCTAACCCCATGTCCATACCCGCCCGTAAGAGCGGGCCGGGTAGTCCACCGGGCCGCCGGGCTCGGGAAGAATTTAAATTTTTCAAAATTATATAATTTATTTAATACTTTATAAATAATATTACAACATTTAAAAAATTGCTAATACGCTTATAATGTATATAGGCCTTTCATCGCATGCACAAAAAATATTTACACAAAAATAATAATGAGAAACTATATCTAAAATTTAAAATTCATGCACAAAGTATTATCGTTAAGTAGAAAAATAGATATTATATTGGTTGGACTATTTGTTAAGAACTAAAAACTTAAATTTAAACATAATAAACTATAACTATGTATACAGATAAATTAGTAAATATAAAAATATACATGTGTACATGTAAATAAATACATAAATTAGTATATATAAAAATATATATGCATATATATTAAATGTAGCGGGCCGGGCTTATCGGCCCGAACGGGCCTACACCCTAACCCAAGCCCGCCCATATGTTGTTGCGGGCCGGGCACGGGCCGGGCCGGTGGGTAAATATATATGCCCAAGCCCGCTAATTTGTGCGGGCGGGCTGGGTGGGCCGGGCCGGTTTTGTACAGGTCTTTTCGACCCGCCAATTACAGTTACCTGATCAATCATACTTACCTGACACGACCAATTACAATTACCTCTACCTGCCAATAGCCATTTACATTTACCCGATCAGACCAGTTACGGTTACCTACCTTGATCAGTTACGCTTATTAAACACTGACAAAGTACAACTACCTGATCCAAACATCTACGGTTACCAATGACCACCGCTGACCACAACCTCCTGCAACACTTGTGGCACCTCCTCCTGCCTATTTATGTCCATAGCAATCCATGTACTATTATTTGTATCATTCTTTCGTAGTTTTTTTAGATACTTAGGGTAAAACGTGTATCTAGTTAGGAGACTGCAAAAATCAATCTGAAAACTTAATTGCAGGCCACACGTGACGAGGAGCTGGAAAAGGCAAGCCAAGCCACATGGAGGAAGTCGGAAGAGAAGCACATTATTGAAGGAATAAGTGTACACTAAAAAGAAACAGTAATGTCACACTGCCATTGTGCTGATGTCAACATGAGTTGTATAAAATACCAAATAATGTCCTCAATGTTAAATTAGTTTTTAACAATTCTAGCAATATTTTTTGCGTAAGAAAACACTTTTCGCAAAACTAGTAATATACTTCCTCCGTTCTTTGGCCGTGATTATATCTTAATCTCTATTAATAAAAAATAGAGATTATATCTTATATCATATTTTGAAAATTTGTAATGAGATGAATTGAATCATATTTAAAAAAAAAATCATAAAATAATAGCGTAAAATGTAGTCAAAGTAAAACATGTGAATAGTGTAAAATTCAACATGTTGCGATCAGAGCCGGCCACGGGTGGCATGCACCTAGGCAATGGTCTAGGGCACCACTTTCATGGGGGCATCATTTTTAATAAAAACATTCTATTTTATATATATATACATATATATATATATATGTATATATATATAATAATTATACTAATACATTAATATAAAGTCATCCAACTCCAAAATCCTAATACATTTTGCGGCTAGCGATAGACGTACAAAAGTCTGCAAAACAATTAAATCAAATTGGATAAATATAAGCACATGGGAGATGGCCGGCCCAATAGAAAATTAGGAAAAGTCTAGTCTATTACCTAAGTTAGCGCAAATTATATCCTACAACCGGCGCACCATGAGGATGGTGTGCCCGATCCCAAAACGCCATCGTTTGTCGTTAAAAATCACAAAACCTCCGCAGCTAATGGAACGCCCTCCGGCGTCGTCCTCCCCAGGTTTCAGTGGTCGCAATCTGCTCCGAAGCTAATGGAACTCAGTCCGGCTGTCTTGCTCGCGATTGTCTGGTTGTTGCACCTGGGCGTGAAATCAAATAACCCACTAGTAGAAAACTGTCTTATAGTGACACTTCGTTAGTGACACTTTCTGATAAAGTGTCACTAATAGACGACATATAGTATTAACAGTGCATAAGTGTCGTACGTATATGACACAAAAACATCAACAAATAATAGTGACACTAAATAAAAAAAAGTATTGAATTTTAACCTTAACAAATTTTCACTTTTCGTTTCCCTCCCAAAAACAAAATTCCTACCATCTATTTTTAGTAACCCCACACCAAAACTTTCTTTTCTTAGCAAAAATTTGTCATCCACTTCTTTCTTTCAGATTAAAGTAATTAAATGACCGGTCAAAATAAACCCACCTTACCCTTCTCTGAAATCCTATCACCCAAATAATAACCTAGTCGATGTTCTGCGATGAACACGCTCTAAGGTAGGGCTTCTACGGCCGAAACCAACCTTCGTTCTTCTCTGATTCGGGATTTTTCCGCCTCCTGAAGAACCTCGCCAAAGCTTCTTCTTCCAGCATCGTTCTTCTCTTCTCGCTACTGTGGCCGAAATTCTTTCTGCTGAGGCTCTTCATCTGCGAAATTGCCATGTTTTCTCAAAGTGAGATGATCTAGATACTTGTTAGAGATATCGTAAATCAACTGACTGGTTAGAGGTTTAAAGCGGTATGATTCCTCTACTTGGAGCTGATCGCTCTAGCCAAAGGATTTGGATCTTCATCTCTAGGTATTTGTTCTATACTGGTCCTCGAGTCACTGTCTATATATCTCGTCTAAGGGGATTGATTACTTATGGTCCTTTACTCTATTAACGGCTTGATTTTGTCTCCAATAGTGCAATTTGGACCTAATTTAGTCCTCAGTTCATATTTGGTTCTAAATAAGAAAGGTATTTTGTCAGTTCCTTAAATGTATGCCAAACTTAGGACTTGACTATGTAGTTTGTGTGAGGTAAAGCTTGGACTTACTCAATTCATACTTCCAGAAGTATTGAGGTTGATTTCAAATAGTATTTAGTGTTTGGTGTTTTAAATCATGTGTGTGTGAGTTAGTTATCAACTTTAAATTAATCCTTGAATTGTTAGGATGGCTTCGTGGTTATCTTGTTTTAGTTACCTTTAAATAACTCTCTAGCTATTGATTTTATTTTTAATCTTTCCTGAATTTACTTATTTCATTTCAAGTAATAGAAAAGGGGACTTCACCCAATTCGTGTGTTTTGACTTTTGTTTTGTTCTCTGCTCTATGGTTTATTTGGCAGCAAAGCAGGTCCCTGAAACCAACAGTTTGGAGTTTGGACCCGATATAAATCTCATGTTTCAAATATCCTTAGGGTTTATGTTATTTTAAAGTTGTATTCGAATACTCGAATTTGAGATTATTGCCGTTTAGTTTGACTTTCTTATGTATATCATTGGTGCTTTGTTAATATATTGATTATAATTAGGTAGTTAAAATGCATCACTTCGGCTAGAACTCTAGAAGCAATGCATCGTGCACACAACTCCCAACTCTCAGCCGGATGCAGCTTGTCGTTGCCCTCTTTAGGGTAAGTATAGTTGTTACACCCGGGTTAATCATCGATTGTCATTTATTTTTCTTTTTGCATTATTTATGTTTAGGGTTTAGGGGTCATCTTTTAATTGATCTTACTATTATATTTTTTTCAAGCAGAGGAAGACTGTAGTAATAATGAATTAATGATTTGAGCTTTGTTAGTCACTTTCATGCCAGTGAGCGTTTTGATGATGCTGAACTTGGAAATGTCCCAAAGAATTAACCTGGCAGTCATCGACAAAGAATTGTCAAGGTATTATTTTGCAAGGTATTACTCTGAAATAACTTTTCCCTTTTACTCAATCTCAAATATAGACCATAAATTTTGCAATGGAAGGTTTGTAAGCATATATGATTGACTGTTATACGATATATGTACATTATTAATCCTATTTGTACGTTCCTTGTTAAAACTTAGTTTTTGGAGTATTGCCATACGATTTTAAGCTTATTCGCTTAAAACATGAGTTTATTATTTCAAAGATGG